ATAATAGAAAAACAGCCATTCAACACAGTTATATCAAAGCTTTGTCATGTTTGCTAACAACTTTTGCAAATAAAACTTATAATTCTATGATCTTATTGTGAAGAACAAACTTCCCATTGGCATGATGTCCTGAGGGCAACCTCTTATGAACATTGGTAATAGAAATCTATTTCCAACAGAATTCTCCAGCACCACAACCCCTTAACAGACAAACGGAGAACATTATTACCCACTATCCTTCATCTCAGAGTATCAGGCATTGCAGATATTGCTAAGCCTCATACCAAACTTCAAAAACGCATGCCAGCTCAAACCATTAGGTCCTGCAGAAAGGTTCAAATTGATGTGCTCTATTCCATTTTATGAGACTGAACATGGACTTTTAGGGTATTATCTTAACTTGCCCATTAAACAAGTTCGTAATGGAAGAAAGAATTAAACAGTTACAAGATAAGTTTGATCAGGAAATATCAATACAACTTTAAATTGGTTAACTAAATAGATTTGAATTTTTGAACCTTGTGAAGTTTATATATAAAGAAAAAAATAGTGAAATGAGATTAAATATTTTGAGATGCCCCAAAAAAGAAAGAATGCTATATAATTGGAATGGTGGAACTACTTAAGCTCCTTCATATTTCATCACACATTACGTTCACAAATTTAATTTAATGAATGTAAATATAACTCTTCATAAGTGAAAAAGGGCATGGATTCGATCACAATTACCAAATATTTTCTACGATAACTCCCTACAAGGGCTTGACGGTATAGAAAAGTAGTTAAATAGTACCATACACTTCTCTCAGCTCAGCGACTCTCAATAAACTGTAATTTGTAGCAAGATAACAAGTTTGCATATGCGTATACTATGCCATAATTTACTCAACAATAGAGGATCTCAGTAAATCTCTCTAATCATAGAGATAATAAGTGTATACACTCACATATAAGTCAAGTGGGATGGAAGTAGAAGACTAATAATCATTCTGTTTGTTGAAATATAAGTGGAGAGTCATACCAGTATCCTGTTCTTTGAGTTCGGAAGAAAGACGATGCGCGATGTACAACAAATAGTGTGCATCAGTTCGAGCATATTGCACCATTTCAGCTGGTAGTGGACGTTGCCTCCAGTCTTCTCTCTAAAATTTTGATAAAGAATAGAACTGTAATTTAGATCAAGATCTTGCCAGCTGAACTATAAGAGAGGTGCACCAGCACTACGGTGTAGCATGTTGTTGTTTACATGCTGAAATCACCACATGTACCCGCTGAAAATCATGTTCATTGACTATAGGTAAGAACAGTGCCACGTATTCAAAGAGAAATAGCCAGAGTCTTGTATGCCTATTTAAAATGTCCGGTCTGATCATATACATTATAAATACAAATCTTGATTCACTAACAATCTTAAATATGAGATGGTAGCAAGCAAGGACAACATCATACTACAACAGCTTCACTTAATTTGCAGCTTCGTCTAATAGCTCCATTATTTAAGGAATTCCTTACTTCAAGTGACCCTGTTAAATCAATTCAATATAAGAAAATGAAAATCAAATAACATTTCGAGAGAGATAAAAACAATGTAGAACCCACACATAGTTTTTTTTATTTTTTTATTATAAGGAACCCCACATAGTTTTTATCATATTCCTTTAGGAAATTCTATGAGAATCTATCCCTTTTTTTAAGTAAGGAATCTATCACCTTTCTTTTTTTTTAGGAGGAGAATCTATCATCTTTTATGATATTCTTTTTCTGTTTTTTCCACTTGATTTGCAGCAAGGGGAGCTATATTAAAAACTGAATTTGAGCAAAATGTGAGCTTTCTATGTAAATTGGTGTTTCATGAGCAAATGTTCAAGCGAAAATGTGGATCACCTCCTCCTACGTTGTCCAATGGAAACTAGCTTCTTCTTGGAATATTGAGATGGTTCTGGATGCTTGGCTGATGTAGGGCTTGGTGAATGAGGCACTCCCCAGCAGGAAATCCAAAAGAAAGAACAGAAGTCAGAGAGCTTGGGATGTTGCCCCACTAGCACTCATGTAGGTCTAGTGGAAGGAAAGAAATAGGAGAGCTTTTGATGGGACTGAGAACGATGATGTACATCTGAGAAATAGCCTGTTATTCCTAGTTTCTTTTAAGTGCACCCATAAGTTCCAACTTTATAGAAGATTGGGTGCTGTCACCTTCACTAAGTTCCGTTTTTTTTAAAAAAATAAATAAATAAATTAGAAACTGAGCATTTTATTCATCTCCAAAAAAGGGTACATTGAGCTGAGGAAGTTAAAATACGATATCTCCTCCCTAGTTCATCTTGTAAGATAGAATCAACTATCTTATAACATTCTGATATGAGGTAAATGCATTTGGAAGGGGGAAGCAAGAACATTGTAAAAAAAGAAAATGAGGACTCCAACCTATACAATAAGGTCCTCTAATAGTTAGTACCCCTACACATGTAGGGAAAATGATGACCATGGTGGTTCAAAGGCTATGTTTGATTTCTTCAATTTGGACCTTCGAAGAACAGGCATATTCCACCTATCCATATTCATCAAACCTCTAACTTCTTTTGTAGAGGTTAGAGGTTCCGTTCAGAATCCAAATCCACCAAAACAATTAAATCAATAATAATATAGATTTTTTGTCGGTTGCACTTCCGTATCTCTTTGTCGTCTGTTGTGAACATGCTTTCTTTGAGCCAAGGGTCTATCGGAAACAATCTCTCCGTAAGGTCTGTTTACACACTATCCTCCCCAGATCCCATTTGTAGGATTACACAGGGTATATTGTTGTTGTTGTTGTAAATATAGATTTTTTTTATAACCAAATATAGGTTGTCTTAAAAGAAGAAATCCATCCATCACAACTCACCAACGGAAAAGTTAGCAAACAGATACCTAGGGAGGAAAAGAAAGATTACGGTAAACCAAAAGAATGTATCCCAAGCAAGCTTCTTTCTATACCTGTAATAGTTTATTTGCAACAATGCCACAGTACAAATCCAGCAAATACGCCAAAGACCTTTGTGGTTTAGACAACACATCACAAGCCTGGAATGTAACAAGAACAACAGTGGCTTAAATAAAAGTAAATAAGAAACATCATAGTCAACCATACACAAGAAAAATACGCCAGGCATATTCTTGCCCTTCTTAAGTAAAAATCTTCACTTAGATAAAAGAATATACATTAACATGATACCTTACCTTTGCAGTGTCAAATAAATTAACAACATAAATGTGGAAATCCCTTTGAAGCCAAAGAACATCATTATCAGCACCATGGAATACCTACACCAGCGGAAACAACTTATAGGAGTCATTTGGGGATGCAAATTATGAAATTAGCATACTACAAAATTTCTAACAACAGCGTGGAGTTAGCTGCTTGCACTTTATATATCCAAATTAAAGTACGAAAGAAAATCGCTAATAATTGGCACGCAAATTAACAAGGTCACCTTGCAAATTCCTGGGTTAGCAAATACGGGCCGAAGAATTCCCATTACATCATGCAAAGCTATTGTATCCACAAGATAATCTTCGCTTCCAGTTGATATCTGCTCAATACATGAAAAAGTTACGTTTACATAACAATAATATAAAATGATTTTCTGTAAAAAAAACATTTTGAAAAACCTGAATTAGAGCTGTGAAGCCGAGAAATGATCTCAAGCTATGCTGCTCTGTATCAACTGCAAACACTCTCTCCTTACTCAAAACCTCCGCAAGCTCCCGTAATTGAGACTCACTCTCAACCCATACATACAATTCGCGCATCGTCAAATCTTCAAAATTTCTACCAAAAAGCTCCAAAAATTCAACATTTGAACTCTTCAACAACTCCGTAATCTCCGCCTTGTACGGATGAAAATTTGTACAATCCTCTGTCACATACATTCCCAATCATTCAGCTAGGGTTTCAAAAAACAAATATAGATAATTAAATAAATTGTATTTGTACCATTGCTGTTGACAAGCTTGAGGTGTTTGAATTGAGAATATGAGTTATCGGCAAAAACTCGTTTGAATGAAGCTTGAGGTTTGATTTCTGCATTTAGATAACAGGAGTGTTTCTTTTTCCTGTTGTGTTTTCGAACTTTCTGGAAGCTCTTTGCTATGAATATGGAAATGGCTACTGTGAGGCAAGTAGCTATAGTGAGCTTAACAGCAAGCTTCAAACTTTCCTTGTTCTCCATTTAATGATTCAGTTTGATTCTTCCTACTTGCTTTGCTTTTGCTGTGCAATTTGAAATCCAATTCTTATAGTGGCTTGTCTTCGTATTAGAAAATGTTTTGATCGTGGGCTCCGGTTCAACCTCAAAACTAACTTTGGCCCAATATTAGGTCCTAGCCCAAAGTTACGGAGACTTTTGCACTAGATAGTCACTTTTGTGACATATTCAAATTTAGCCACAATTTTAAGAATGTTGCAAACTTAGTGAAACAAGTTGTTATAGTCTTCTTCTCTTCCTCCTTATTCTTCTTCTTGTTGGTCTAAAGTTCGGTATGAATATTGGTTTGAAGTTGAGTTGCAGCAATTCAAACTTCTGACTGCTGGTTTGAAGTTTGGCAATGACAATATGACCACTAGTCTAAAGTTTGGCTGTGGCTAAAGTTGCATTCTTTTAATTTATGACCATATTTTAAAGATAAACATTAGTGTCTATTTGTACAAATGGGCCAGTCTAAAACTGTACTCAATTGTATACTTAGTGGCCTCTCTCTCTATCTATCTATATAATATTTTATATTATGTGTATATAATCAATATATAATCTATGTATATGACTAAAAAAAAGTAAACAATGAATATACCGGCTATTTATGTAAAGATCACATTAATAAATTGGCCCAATGAATAGGCCCAAGCCCAAAGTTATTAGAGCAGTATGAAAATACAGTTTTCTAGAAGTTGGTTATTGATGATGCGTTCAAATTCTCAGTTTCACTGCACAATGAAGAATGGCTTCTTTGGAGCAACCTATTGAAGAAAATGACACGACTTCAGTAGTTGCACAAGTCGATACGGTTATTGAAACAATGGAATCACAGAATTTGTCAATAGAGGAAGTTGAGATTGATTTCCTGGGAAAATTTAAGAAAATTTTATTCACCTTATGGAAAAATGTTGTGGGGATTAAAACACATAATGAAGAGAATGTAACACAAAATTATCGTGGAGATCGAGTTGAACGAGTCAGGTTATATCACGTTTGGCCAGGAAACAATGTATGCTACGGTTTGTGTTCGATTATATTCATTTGACAAATATGGAGGAGTTGTTTTAATTGTATTTGTTCTAATGTGGCTTTCATTATTTTAAGTGCAGGTATTTTTCCTCAAAGGGTTACTGATATGTGGGCCAGATCCAAGAGGTTTGCTCTTGACTATTGTCTCTATTAGCCTCTCAAGTTGGGTTTTTGCTGTTTATGTTGCAAGGGATATATCAAAACACTCGAGCATCAAAGTCAGTTTCTGTGTGCTATTGACCTTAATTGTGAGTCACTAAACTAAACTTTGTACTGAATCTGTTAGGTTAATTTTCTTCTTTTTCTTTAACTATTATATTATATGATATGATATTTTTCATTATATATGTAACAGGTTCTTGCCAACTTAATAATGGTTAGCGTCATTGATCCTGGCATTATTCCGAGAAATAATGAATCACCAGCCACTGAGTCGACGGGAAATGGTAGAATTAGAAGCAAAAGAGTTGCCATAAATGAGGTGGAAATGAAATTGAAATACTGCCGTATTTGTAACATACATCGTCCGCCTAGGAGTTGCCATTGCGTTATTTGTGACAATTGCGTTGAGAAATTTGACCACCATTGCCCTTGGATTGGTCAATGCATTGGACTGGTTTGTACAATTACAAAGAAATCAGCAATATTCCTTGAGCCTATGACAGAAGATAAATTAATAGCATGTATTTATTTCGATTTGTGCAGAGGAATTATCGACTTTATGTATTGCTATTGGTTATGGCAACTGTTTACTTCGTCTACATATTTGCTTTCTCATGCAAAAAGATTCAACATAAGAATTCTGGCAATGGCATGGGATTCATTGGTTTGGTAAAAGATTGCCCGGAGACATTGGCATTGACATGTTTCAGTTTTGCTGCTGCGTTTTTTGTTGGTGGATTGACTGCTTACCATGTGTATTTGATTGCTACAAATCAGGTTAGTCTCAGTTTCACTTACCAATATCAAATGAATTGTTTCTAGGAGAATACTTCAGTGACTAATAGCCTATTTGGCCAAGCTTCCCAAAAAAAAAAGTATTTTTATTTTCAAAGTTGAAGTGTTTGGCCAAGATTGGAGTAGAACAAAAGTAGTTTTGGAGAAGGAGAAAAAAAAATTATTTTTGAGAAAAATACACTTAGTAGCTCTTTTTAAAAGCGTGGTCAAACATTAATTGTTGCTTAGAAATATTTTTCAAATTAATTAGTCAAACACAAACTGCTTCTTACCAAAAGTACTTTTGAGAAAAGCACTTTTGAAAGAAAGCACTTCTCAAAATAAACCCTGTTTGGCCTAATTTTTCCAAGTTGAAATGCACTTTGGTCAAGCTTTTGGAAGGAAAAAAAAAGTACTTTTGAGTAGAAGCAAAAGTAGAAAAAGTAGCTTCTTCCCGGAAGCACTTTTTTGATAAGCATTTTTTAGAAAAATACACTTAGAAGCACTTTTTGAAACCTTGGTCAAACACTAATTGCTGCTTAAAAGTTCTTTTAAAATTGTTAGCCAAACACAAATTGTTTTTCATCAAAAGTACTTTTAAATAAAAAAAACACTTTTGAAAAAAAAAACATTTCTCAAAATAAGCTAGTTTTTTCCAGTTTGGCCAAATAGGCTAGGAGAAGCCAAAATTAGAACCAAGGCTCGATCTAAGTCATTTTTGTTGGTAGATTGTGGTTACCATGTTTATAGATGCAAGGATCGACCCAAGTAATTTTTTAAAAAAGTTGTTTTTATTTATATATCCAAGTCGTCTTTTGAAAAAATTTATATAATCCCATTTAATCTTTTTTCTTTTCTTTTTTGTTTATTGTCACAGACTGCTAATGAGAATTTTAGGCAGCTGTACGGAAGCAATAGAAATGCATTTGACAAAGGAGTTGTGAATAATATTAAGGAGATTTTACTTTCACCTTGGACGCCTTCAAAGATCAATTTTCGTTCAGAAATATATAGATTTGATCATTTGGAACATGTCACAGAACCTTGATAGGATTTCTGACTTCGTTAATTACTGGTTTAGGCTTAATGTAGTTTATCACTTTGCCAAAATGAAGGTTTTGAGAATGTAAACAATTTTATTTGGTTATTGTAGGTTAAGTTTGGCGCAATTTTATTTGGTGATCACTATCACTATCACTATCACTATCACTATTATTGTTTTGAGTTCCCCAGTAACGACCTTACATTTTCTTTATGTGATGATACTACTCTAATTACAAGAAATAATTGCAAAAGCAAACGTACTTTATCTTCTCCTAAAATTTGATATGTTATGTGAGAGTGAGCATTTTCTCATCTATTGGCTGCAATTTTGATTTCCCCCCTCTTTATTTGGTCCTACTAATACTAAGGACCCGTATGTCCATAGATATTTTTTCCCTTTTATCAATTTTTTTTTAAAAAAATCGTGAAATTTTGCAAGTTTTTGAAAATTTTCGAAAATGAGTTTTCGTAGTTTTGACCACTTTTTCAAAATTTTCAGAAATTTTTTCTCCCCGCTCATAAATTTGCAATATTTTTTCAAGTGAAATACATGTCCAAACATAATTTAAAATTTCGAATATCATTTTCCAACTCAAATCCAAATACTACTTTTTTCCAAAAATTAAAATTTTTATGTCCAAACGCCTACTAAATCTATTTCTCACACCTAAAACCGTCGTGTGTTTTTGCTCTAAACCTTTTTTCTAATTTAATCTGATTGTTTATTTTTGCTCGCTTTTTCTTCCTTTGATGAGAAAATACACATGTTGCATCACATGAATCTTGGCTGTACAGTCTAACAACATATAGCCATCAAAATAACATAGTCGTAGCTAGACCACCTTCTATCACATGATTCTTGGGTAATATAATTGGACCAGCTGATTTTTCTTTTTTCTTTTTCGGTGATTGATCATTTTCTATCAACAATTCACCAAACATATGATTAATTAGTCGACCTGTTACCCTACCAACTCCATTATTATTAAATAATCCAAAGTAGCAAATTGCTTACAGCTGAACATTAAATGATCAAATTCTTATTCTATGATAAATTGCTTGAGATTTAAATCTTTCTATATGTATCTTTAATCTCAAGAATAATGGAATGAAACAATATTTATTGGGAGATATCTCATAAAATTGGATACATATAGAGAATATTAGCCATAACTAGATCTACGCAAGAATTACACGAACAAAATAAGAAGATGAGCAAAACGATCGATTTCTCATCCACATTTCTTCCCTTTCCAAAATATAAGTACCCCAAAATATGAGTTATCGGATCGATCTAGAGGTAGATCCAGAATNATATATATATATATATATATATATATATATATATATATATATATATATATTTAAAATTATGTGTTCGTATCTATTATTTATTGCAGTTTTAATGAGTTTTACACATAAATGTATGAATCGCGCCAAAAATATTGAGTTCAGATGAACCAACATTAAAAGGCTGCATCTGCCTCTGGTCATCGATCAAGTTGACTCTTGATAACTTTATCAACGATTAGATTGGTAACATTTGTTTATTAATATAAACACTAATTTACATAAATATATATTCTTTCATTTTACTCATCCTCCTTACCTTGATGAGAGATATGGGAAACTCCAAGTCAAATATGATACGTGTATATTGGAATAGCGCAACTCTTTCACCATACCTTGAGGAAAAAATATTATATAGAGAATTACTCCAATTTATGTATATTGAAATAGCGCTTTCAATAGCAGATGGGAGCATGCACATGCAGAAAGCAGCCACCATGCCAAGAATTTAGGTGGTATAAATGGCAACTTGACAGCATGGCCCAAAACCAAAATTGTAAGTAGTAATTGAAAGATTATGGAGAGAGCTTCTACTGCATAAAGTGACGTGCACATATTCCACCAGCAGAAGCAACGTATCTTACAATTAACTCCTGACTTTTTTTTTTCCTTTTGTTTTTCTTTTTTGTCTGCAACCATACTCCATATACGTACTGTTTAATTAATGTTCTCTATGGCCTTACAAAGTGAAAAAAAGTTGAAGGAAAAGAAAAAAAATAAGGTATACTTGTCAAAACACTGACTCAAATTTACTAGGCTCACGGAAGCTACACTTAAACATATGAGTTTAATTTCTATATACAAATAAGGTACAACTTTTTCGCACAATTACTTATAGCAAGTGGAGTAAATAATCAATTATAACATGTTAAAGACACGCACTACTAAAAATTCGCTTAAAACCGACCGAAAAAATCGATCAATTTCGATCGGTAATGGTCAATAAAAACGGGACCAATTTGATGTGGTCGGTAATTAAATGGTCGGTAGAGTATAAACGACCATCTAACAATTTAATTGACTAACCGACCAATATTGATCGGAATATTATTTTGGTTACCGACCAACTTTGATCGGTAAAGAAAAATAAATTAATGAAATAATATTTTAGTTACCGACAAACGTGGTCGGTACTAGAATTTTTTTTAAAATAATAAAATTTAATAGTACCAACCAATGTTGGTCAGTAATGTGGACATGGTAACCAACTTACTGACCAAAGTTGGTCGGCAAAGTTGAATTTCTGGGATTTAATGTGCATTACCCGACCAACATTGGTCGGTATTTTGCAATATATTTTTTTTAGTTACCAACCGAGGTCGGTCGGTTTTCTAAGAATAATTTTGGCAAAAAGTGCCTGTTTTAATAGCTACACTACCTGCCAAATAAAAATATATATTTCCGCATACCAATAACCCCCAATTCACCACAAATCCAACCAAACATCCAATTAATACTTTAAACTTAACAAGTTCAATTAAACATCAAAATTCAAAAACTAAGTAATTACAACAAATTCAAAATTGTTCATTCTAACTCAAAACTAGTTCTATTATTCTAGTTCAAAGTATATCAAAGTATTGATCAAGGGGTGTTTTATTACAACTATTATTCTTGTGGAGGACGGGAAGAACGATCACGTGGAGGACGTGGAGGACGGGAGGAGCGATTACGTGGAGGTCGAGCCTCTGGCGATGACTCACGAGACCAGGCAACGGAAAAGCTCTAGTAGAAACGAGAGTTCTAATTTGAGCTTGTATACCAAGGAATTCAGCATCTTTAAGCCTTTCTCTTTCTTTGGCCGCTTCTAGCTCGGATATTAGCCTTGTCACTGTCTCCTGCATAGCCGAGAGACTCTCCCTATTGAGTGCCTCGCCCTGTGAGGAACTCCCTATTCCTTGCATTCCACACCTGTAGCGATGGAATTTTTTCTCAAGAAGCCTATATACCTTCCTCTTTTTTGGACTTCCAACTACCTCCAACAATATTCTTTTAGCATCCTCGTCCGAAGGTTGAGTTGACTCGCCCGATTCACCAGCTGGCTGATTGCGAATGAAGTCTTTCACGGTACTTTAGTAGCGACCCTACGTTATTTTAAATTAAATTAGTATATAAAAAATCTTATAAAAGTAAATTATAACACTTAAAGAAAATTAAAAGCTTATATATATAGTCTCTACCCGATCCTCGATCCACCTATCTGTATCCCCCTCTTTTTTCTTCTTTAAAATATGTGTATCCTTAAATAGCTCATCTTGGTGCATTGGGCGCCACACTTCTTTTCCTGAAAATAAATTAATTTGGTTAATAAATAGAATTGATATACTTAGAAAAGTAAAGACGTAATAATTTAAGCAATTACCAACCTTCTTCTTATTGTCCCGATGTTGATAACACCCCCAGTGTCCTACATAATGTCATTTTAGCCAAGGATATTCAAATAAAATATAATATTACATCAAACTTATATTATTACCTCTCAAAGGAATACATCCATCTACATTGAACATGCCCTCCAAGTCGTGCCTCGTGTACAAGGTGGATTGGAAGGTATTCCATCACATCAAAGAAACCACGTGAAAATATTTTTTCCATCTTACTAG